CAAAACTGTAAGAGAATAAATCCCTGTTTGTTAAAGCCACCCATTTGTGGTATTTTTCTGTTAGAATGGCACTCAAAAACCAAAAAAAACAAACTCACTGCTATCAAGTCAGTTCCGACTCATGGCAACCCCCATTAGGTTTCCGAGGCCATAAATCTTTACAGAAGTAGATTGCCCCATCTTCTTTCTGTGGACTGGCTGGTGAGTCTGAACTGCTTCCCTTTTGGTTAGCAGCCAAATGCTTTATCTGCTACCAAAACACATTTGTACACATAATAGAACTTTAAAAAACATAAATAGAGTAATTATAATGCTGGTCTGCAACTTACTTTTTTCACTTCATAATGTGTCCTGAGAATTTTTCTGTTAGTATGTGTAAATGTCCATGGATATACCATAATTCATGTACCATTTTAAATTGTTTTGAACTTTTTACTGTTAAATATTGCTATTGTGAACATCCTTGTATACATCTACAAGGTTATAGATACTTTTATACATGTACAACTATTTCTGAGGCTAAATAACCTAGAGTTAAAATTACTTTGTCAAAGATTATGAATATTTTACATATGGATGAATACTACAAAATTACCATCTAAAATGGTTGTAATCAGTAGACTTTAACCATGTGAAATAATTCATTTACCCATGCCCTCAAAACACTTAAGTATCGTTTGCTTCTATTTTTGACATTCTAGTGGACAAAAATATCAGTTTTACATCTGCAGTTTTCCATATTATGCTGAGCATTTTTCATAAGTTCATAGGCCATTTCTGTTTCTTATGTGAATTGCCCATTCTTATCCTTTGTCACTTTCTTCAGGATTGCCTTTCTTAAAGGTTTATAAGTCCTCTTTAAATGTTTCTTCCCTTTGCTTTAGCTACTCTTTGTATAAAAGCAAGTTTCAGAGTTTTTCTGACATCCATTTCAGTCTTTTCTTCCTTTCCTGTCTCTTTAATGACCTTTTGCTTTCTTCGTGTATGATGTTCTTGATGTCATCCTGCAACTCATCTTGTCTTCAGTCATTGGTGTTCAGTATGTCAAATCCATTCTTCAAGTGGTCTCTAAATTCAGGTGGGACATACTCAAGGTTATATTTTGGCTCTTGTGGACTTGTTTTAATTTTCTTCTGCTTCATCTTGAGCTTGCATATGAGCAATTGATAAAGATCAAAGAATCCAGACTTCAGTGTGGATTATACTTCAGTTTAAGAAAACAGAAATCCTCACAATTGGACCAATAAGCAGCATCACGATAAATGTAGAAAAGATTAAATTTGTCAGAGATTTCATTTTACTTGGATCCACAATCAATGCTGATAAAAGTGACAATCAGGAAATCAGATGATGTATTGCACTGTGCAAATCTGCTGCAAATGACTTCCTTAAAGTGTTAAAGAGCAAAGGTGCCACTTTGAAAACTAAGATGCACCTGATCCAAGCCATGATATCTTGGCTGAAAGTGAAGAATACCAGAAAGATGTTGACTTGTGTTTTATTGACTATGCAAAAACATTCAATTGTGTGGATCATAAAAATTATGGGTACCATTGAGAAGAATGAGAATTCCGGAACACTTAATTGTACTCATGAGGAACCTGTACATAGACCAGGAGACTGTTGTTTGAACAGAACAAGGGGATATTGCATGGTTTAAAATCAGGAAGGGAGTGTGACAGGGTTGTATCCTTTCACCATACTTAATTCAATCTGTACGCTGAGCAAATAATCTGAGAAACTGGGCTGTATGAAGAAGAATGTGGCATCAGGAGTGGAGGAAGACTCATTAATAACGTGTGATAAGCAGATGACACAACTTTGGTTGCTTAAACTGAAGATGACTTGAAGCACTTACTGATGAAGATTAAGGACTGCAGTATGTATTACATCTCAACATAAAGAAAATGAAAATCCTAAGAACTGGACCAATAAGCAGCTTCATGATATATGGAGAAAAGATTGAAGTTAGCAAAGATTTTATATGACTTGGTTCCACAATCAACACTAATGGAAACACCACTCAAGAAATCAGATGAGGTACTGCACTGGGCAAATCTGCTGCAAAAGACCTCTTTAAAGTGTTGAAGAGCAAAGATGTCTCTTTGAAGATTAAGGTGTGCCTAACCCAAGCCATGATATTTTCAGTCCCCTCATATGCATGTAAAAGCTGCACAATGAATAAGAAATACTGAAGAAGAGTTGATACTTTTGAGTTGTGCTTTTGGTGAAGAATACTGAAGGTACGTACCATGGACTGCCAGAAGAACTGAAAAATCTGTCCTGGAGGAAGGGCACCCGGAGTGCTTCTTGGAAGCGAGAATGGCCAGACTTATTAGTCTCACCTACTTTGGTCATGTTGTCAGAAGGACTGTTCCCTGGAGAAAGATATCATGCTTGGTGTTCTGGTTACCTAGTGCCGCTCTGACAAGAAATATACCACAAATGGGATGGCTTAAACAAACAGGAGTTTATTCTTAAATTTGGAGGCTTTAAGTCCAGTTCAAAGTGCCAAGCTCTAGGAGCTGGGTGAAAGCCCTTCAGCCTTAGACTTCAGCTCTGCCTCCAGCTCCTGGCCCACTGAAGCTAGAGGCTTTTCTTCACTCAGACAGCTGCTAGCTGCTCAGGCTGCCAAGTCCAAGGTTGACAGGTAAAAAGGCACAGTTACCAAACCACGTGGCAGGCCATTAATTTAAGTCCATTATAAGTCCCAAGGTTGGCAGAGCATGGCAGGTTGCTGAACAACAACACGGCTACATGCAGGGTCCAAACGTGTCATAAGCTAAAGACCATTCCCACGGCTTCTCCTTATATACAGGAAACAGACCATATCCTAAAGGCAGCTTCTCAGCTGCTTGTGGTAGATCCCACCTTGGAGTTGATTGCCAGTCTCGTCATGGGGAATAACTACGACCAGCTGCCCAGCCACTCAACCAGGCCCAGCCAAGTTGACACACAAACATAACTACCACACTTGGTAAAGTGGAGGGTCAATGAAAAAGGGGTAGGCCCTCAATGAGATGGATTGACACAGTGGCTGCAACAATGGGCTCAGGTATAGCAAGGATTGTGAGGCTGGCACAGGACCGGGCAGTGTTTTGTTCTGTTGTATACAGGGTTGCTATGAGTTAGAGCTGACTTGACGGCACCTAACAACAACAATAATTTTAAAGACCCTAAACCCAGACTCTTGCAACACTGGACCATGGATGGGATACAGGCAGGTGAGGAAGGGAGAATGTGGCTCTGGGCACAGCTCTTGGCTTTGTCAGGCAGGCATGCAGGGCGGGATACATTCCGCTCCCCCCCCCCCCCCCCTTGCTTCCTCTTGTTCCTCTTCTGCGGCTGCCCTCTCATCTACCATGGCCATCACTCACACTCTTCAGCCTCCACCAGCAGCACCAGCATTGGCAGCAGTGGCGATGAGGACAACCAGAAATGGCTCCCAAAAGATTTTAATATGGTGTTTATACAACATCCGAATCACATAATGTCCTAATTCACAGAATATATTGTGGATATTAAGCAACACATACCTATACTTGTTTTGTTTGTTTTTTTGTTAGTATATTTTATGTTTAGCTCTCAGTCCATCTGGATTTAATACATGTAAATAGTGTGAGGTAGGGTACTGTCATTTTAGAATCAGCAACAAAAATAAACATTCTAATACAGAATATTTTTAGATAAATAATTCTAGAAAAGAGTCCTTTGATGGTATATATGGTTAATGCACTTGGCCACTAACAGAAGGTTCAAGTTTACCCAATTTCCTCACAAGAAAGGCCTGGCAATCTACTTCTGAAAAAGAAGCCACTGAAAAAACCTATGGAGCACAATTCTCTGAAACACGTGGGGTCACCCTATGTCATCATAAGAATTGCCTTGCCAGCAACTGGGGAAAAAAATATTTGGAAAGATACCAGGGAGTATTTTTTTTTTAAAGCCTCGATTCCTTCTTGGAAGTAAATTGTTGTTGTTGTTGTTGTTTGCCGTAGAGTCAGCCCTGACTCATAGCGACCCCTCCTTGGGTTTCCGAGGCAGTATCACTACGGAAGTAGGATTGCCCAACCTTCCTTCCGAGGAGTGGCTGGTGGGTTTGAACTGCCAGCCTTCTGGTGAGCAGTCAAGTGCCTTAGGCACTATGCTACCAGAGCTCCTTGGAAGTAAATACTTAAAAAAAAAAAAAAAAAATTTCAAAAATGTGTTATTAAAAAAATGTGTTATAAAACATTCAGAAACAAAGACTAGAACACTTTTTAATGTTCATTTGCTTATTCCTGTTTTGTGAAGCAGCTACCTGTTGTGAAGTTGCTGCTTATTCTTGTTAATTAAATAAGGATATTACCTTTACCAGTTAATAAATAATTAGAAGCATTGGTTTGTGTCTCCCAATTTTTTCATTGTGTGAAAACATCTAACAGATGACTTATAGCACTCAGTCCCTCCCCATGTTCTAGTTCATAGTGATGACAGATCTTTAACAAAGTAGATGATTACAGTAATGAAGATACAGAGAAGGGAGACAAAAGGAGGAAGAAAATAGCAAGAGGAGATAGGAAATGAGATAAATAGAAGGAAAGAATAAATCATTAAAAGGTAAAGAGAGAAGACAAGAGGGGAGGGAGCAAAAGTACCCTCTCTTACTAGTGAGGAATGGTTTTATGCTTTCCCAACATCCCTTCCTGGGCTACCCTTCCGCTCCTTCTGTCTTTCAGCCTCACCTGATCCTACCTCCTAGGATATCTGTGTACATATCCTCTTGAAAACTGTTTCTACTGCTAGAGCTATTTCTTTTCAATTATCTTGGGCTCCATAACAATAGTATTGTTTTATTCATTTGGTTTTTGTCTCTTTGTTTTAGGAGTGAATGGACCTCTGCTGTCCTGCTGACTGCCATTGTTTGTTTTCTTTCTTGCTTTTTTATGAATGATTGTCTAAAGTACACTGTTAATGGGCTCTGGCTTCTTGCATTCAAGTTTCTTTATAATTTCTTTTAGGCAAGTGAGAATTTTGAACCAGCAACTTAGAGAACGAGAAAATACTCAAAAGACATCTAGTTCTCTGGAAGGCAACCTTCTTAAATGTAGGTAAAAAAAACTTTAAACATAAGTGTTAAAATCTGTGGCTCTGGAAATATTGATAAAGAATTGGGCTTTCCTAATTATTTTGTCTAGGTGGATTTTCTTTTTCTTTTTTTTTTTAAAAAAAAAAAAAACCAAACAGCTTTTTAAAAGTAGAAATAATGCTTACTGAAATTTACAATGGTGCAGCAATACATAAATATAAAAGATCTGTGCTATCACTTCTCAATAATATACCTCTGTTTTTAAAACAACAAACAAAAAAACTATTTTCTTTCAGACATCTTCTATTCATATATAATTCACTTATTTAACAAGTACTTATTATGTGGCAGGCACTAATAGAACTACATATGCACTTTTTCCTTTCTAAAAATGAGGTCATAACTGTATATATTCTTCTGTAGCTTACATTTATTTACTTGCCACAGTGGATGTTTTTATATCAGATACATAAATATGCTTCTTTAAGAACTGCTTGTGGATTCCACTTATACTGCTCTACCACAATTTATTTAAAGACCTTTGCTGATAAATATGTAGGCACTTTTTAAAAAAATACAAACAATGATGCAATAAAAATCCTGTGTTTTTGTGCACATATGTGAGCATTTTTGTAGGATAGATTTATAGCAGTAGAACTGCTGTGTCAAAGGCTATATATAGCCTCAATTTTGACAGATATGCCAAATTGTCCTTATGGATCACAGAACTTAAAGTAAAAGAAAAGAAAAAAACTTAAAATTTAGTTGATGAGAACTTTTTTCCTTCCCTTTTTTGGTATTCTTGGACACCTTTCCTATTGTTGTTAGGTGCCATCAAGTCATTTGGACTCACAGAGACCCGTAAAACAGAACGGAACACTGCCTGGTCCTACACCATCCTCACAATCATTGCTATGTAGTTTGAGCCTATTGTTGCAACTGCTGTGTCACTCCATCTTGAAGGTCTTTGTTTTTTCACTGACCCTCTTCTTTGCCAAGCAAGGTGTCCTTCTCCAGGGACTGGTCCCTCCTGATAACATGTCTACAGTACAAGATGAAGTCTTACCATCCTCACTTCTAAAGAGCATTCTGGCTATACTTCTGAGACAGATTTGCTTATTCTTCTGGCAGTCCATAATATATTCAATATTCTTCTCCAACACCATAATTCAAATGCATCAGTTGTTCTTTGGTCTTCCTTATTCATTGCCTAGCTTTTACATGCTTATGAGGCTATTGAAAATACCATGGCTTGAGTCAGGCACCTTAGTCTTCAAAGTAACATCTTTGCTTTTTAACACATAGTCTTTCCTCAGCCTGACAAAAGCTTAGATGTCACAAAAGGTTGATAAAATATACTCTCAGGAATTTAAGATTTCTGCACAGCAAAATTATATTAAAAAAGCATCAACATGGGGAAAATTTTATAATACCTGACAAAGGCTTAATTTTGAAAATATATAAAGATCTCTCTTACAAAACAATAATAAAAATAGGAGCACCCAACAGAGCATTTTAAAGAATTGTTCAATTTCATCAGTAGCTTGGTCTAAGCCAGTGTTATCTATTAATTGAACTAGTGTGCTCCCTTTGCTCCTTTGCTGGCTCTCTGTACGATCCCCCTCCCCCCAGTCTTTTATTTGCAGTAGAACCAGAGTTATCTTTTATGAAATTATTCTGCCTTTTACTTTAAATAGCTTCCCCTTGCACTTGAGATAAACATTACTTGGAGTCAAGGAGACCTTACATTGTCTGGCCCTTGCCTGCCTCTACAATGTAATTGAGTTCCACTTTCCCCCTTCTCTCCCTTGTTTACCACATTCTAGCCACTCTAGTCTCTATTTAGTTCCTCAAGAAAACTGGGCCTTTGGCTATCTCAAGGCATTGCTTTAGGCTCTTCATTTGCCCTCTTGAACCTTCTATCTTCTTGTCACCCTCTGGTCATAGTTTAAAACTCATCTGTCTTGGTTACTTTGTGGTGCTCTAACAGAAAATACCGTAGGTGGATGGCTTTAACAGATAGGAGTTTATTCTCTTACAGTTTGGCAGGCTAGAAGTCTGAGTTCAAAGTGCCAGCTCTAGGAGCTGGGTAAAAGCCCCTCAATCTTGGATATGCCTCTTGTTCTGGCCCACTGAAGCTGGAGGCTTTTCTCAACTCAGGAAGCTGCTGGCTGCTGACGCTGACAAGCTCAAGGTTGACAAAGAAAGTGGCACAGTCCCAGTATTACCAAACAGCACAGCAGGCCAGTTCAAGTCCGGAGACAGTCCCAAAATCTGCAGGAAAACATGGCAGGCTGCTAAATGAAGACACAGCTACATGCAGGGTTCAAACATGCCAAAAAACTACAGAGACCTTTCCAAAACTTCTCCTTTTATACTGGAAGCAGACCTCATCCCTAAGGTAGCTACTTAGTTGATTACCAGTCTCATTGTGAGGAATAACTACATCCAGAGGCCCAGCTACTCAAAACCAGGCCCAGCCAAGTGGACACACAACCTTAACTCACATCATCCCCTCTATGAAGCCTTCTGTTACCACAAGTTACTTTTCTTTTTTTGTTCTCTGCTCTTCTGTTATTGTTCCCTTCAAAGCATTCATTACTGTTTATAATTATTTGTTTGTTATCAGCTCCATGAGAGCAAGGCCAAGTATGTTTTGTACACTGCTGTATGTAACCCCAGATTCTAACACAATGCCTCACACATAGTAACCATTCAGTCAAGGGTGTGTTTGTGAGATGAATGGTGGGCATATACTTTTATAACCATTAAAAAGAATGTGGTAGAACTCTCTGCTAAATACAGAATAATCCAGGCCTTTAAAAACAAACAAACCAAAAAAGCCCTAGATCTTTCTAGGTTTGTACCTTTTAAATTAGGGAAACAACTATTTCATCTCTTGTTTTGTTTTGCTTTGTCTTACAGTGTTTTCTCTTCAGTCATTGAACATGTCACTACAAAATCAATTGCAAGAGTCACTGAAGAGTCAGGAGTTACTACAGAGTAAAAATGAAGAGCTCTTAAAAGTGATTGAAAACCAGAAAGACGAAAACAAAAAATTTGCCAGTATATTCAAAGAGAAAGATCAAACTATCCTTGAAAATAAACAGCAATTCGACATTGAGTCAACAAGGATGAAAATTGGTATTTATTTGGACTGTAATCATGGTCACATTTTTAAAAAATAATAAGAAAGCTGACTTTTTTTGTTTTTGTTTTTGATGTTTTAGAATTGGAGGAAGCCTTAGTCAATATGAAAAGCTCCCAGTTTAAATTAGAAGCTTCTGAAAAGGAAAATCAGATCTTGGGAATAACGTTACGTCAACGAGATGCTGAGGTGACTCAACTGAGAGAATTAACAAGGTAATACTGACTTTTTGGAATAACCTGTGCCTTTTATTAGGTACAGGAGCCCTGGTGGTATAGTGGTTAAAGTGCTCAGCTGCCAATTGAAAGGTCGATGGTTTGAACTCTCCAGCTGCTCCGCAGGAGAAAGATGTGGCGGTCTCCTTCTGTGAAGATTTATAGCCTTGGAAACTGTATGGGGCAGTTCTGCCCTGTCCTATAGTGTCATTATGAGTCACAATCGACTGTACTGCAGTGGGTTTTGTTTTATTTTTTTATTAGATGTACTTATGAACTAACATAATTGTCTTTCCCCTTTTTCTCTTATTTGGTCAAAGCTTTTGCTAATTTCCAATAATGTTTTCTTCTGTTCCAATTAAATTAATTTAGAAATTTCAAACTCGCTAAATGTGTTTTTCAACCAGATGATTCTCAGCAGAGGGCTCTGATGAGGAGCCGAAGGCTTATATAGCAAAGTGATTAAAAGCTCTGGGCTGTGAAGTTACAGAGACCTGAGATGCAGTCCCAGCTCTGCCCCTTGTTAGCTGTGTGACTTTGAGCAAGTTATTTAACCTCTCTAAACTTTAGCTGTAAACTAGGGACATGAATGAGGTCATTGAGAGTTCTAAGAAATAAGTCATGAGAACCACTTAGCCTGTTGTTGTTGTTGTTATGTGCCGTTGAGTCGGCCCCGACTCATAGCGACCCCTCCTTGGGTTTCTGAGGCAGTATCACTACGGAAGTAGGATTGCCCAATCTTCCTTCCGAGGAGTGGTTGGTGGGTTTGAACTGCCATCCTTCTGGTTAGCAGTCAAGTGCTTTAGCCACTATGCTACCAGAGCTCATGAGAACCACTTAGCCTAGCAGGCCATTATGATACATGACTTTGGATAAGTACTTTTACCTCTTTGAACCTCATTTTCTTTACTTCACCAGTTTCCAGCAGCTTCTAAGATCACTTCATTCTCTAACAATCAAAGATTCTAAATTTGTTACGTGTTTTGTCAACTAAGCACCCTGGTGGTACAATGGTTAAGTGCTCAGCTACGAACCTAAATGTTAGCCGTTCAAACCCACCAGCCACTCTATGGGAGAAAGATGTGGCAGTCAGCTTCTATAAAGATTATGGCCCTGGAAGCCCTATGGGGCAGTTCTGCTTTGTCCTACAGGGTTGCTATGAATTAGAATTGACTTGACAGCAACCAGTTTTGTTTTCTCAAATAAATTAAATCACCTCACTCAATTTTTGGTATGATAGGCTCTTACAGAGTTTAATGCTCTCTTGAAGTATGTGCTAAGAATTGGACTTTTAACCACTTTTTAAAATCCTAGAGGAGACAGCCTGTATAACCATAAGACCAGAAGAACTAGATGGTACCCAGCTACCACTGTCAACTACTCAGAGAGGGATCTGTGTAGGAGATCCTGGATAAAGTGGGAGAACAATGTGGAACAAAACGCAAAATCATTAAAAAACAAACAGCGTTGCTGGTCTAATAGAGCCTGGTGAAATCACTGAGACTATGGCCTCTAGCTGCAGGTCTGGAATTGAACTCACTCCTGTGGCTTCCAGCCAAATAAAAGACCAGCATATGGGCTGAACATTTACATCAGGTAGATACACTCTTTGGAGAAATCAATCATGGGAGAACAGAAGGGCAATGTATGCACAGGGAGACAGCTGGAGCGGGAGCAGGAGTGCATGGGAGGGAAGGACGCAGGGAACAGGTAACTATGGGGAGGAAGTGGGAAGAGAGCTGTTACATTATGCGAAGTTGCAGTCAGTGTCATAAGACAAAATGTGTATGAACTGCTATATGGAAAATGAAATTGCTCTGTAAAATTTCACCCAAGTCACAATAAAATAATAATAATAATCCTAGAGGAGATAGCTGCAGTTATTTTAGGCCTGAGGATCATCAGATCTGACCATGCCTTTGAATGATCTTGGGATTGTTTAGTTCCAAATATAAGACAATCCTGAATATAAATCAGTCTCCCTTATATTTTTAATGAGAAGATCTTCCAAAATAGTGCTTTTTCCTACATTTTTAATTATAAACTGTTAGTTTATAATGATAAAGAAACAATTAGTAATCAAATAGTAATATGTATATAATATTTAATTTATTAACTTAGTTTTATAAAATTTTAAATGACTATATAATGCATGTTAATATAGAAATATTACTGTTCCATTCATATTTGATGGAATAATTTCATTGAAACTTTTATTGAACAATGGAAAAAGCAGTAAATGTTTGTATCCACTTAGTGTTATAATTAGTCTGTAGTTAGAGTTTGCAAAACATTGGCTTGTACCATTCTTGTTCAAAATAAAGGAATTTAATGCCCCTTCATATGAGAGCCTTTCTAAGGTCTCAAAAGGAAAGTGGAGTGAAAACCCTGTTTTTATCAAGTATATATGGTAAAAGAAGCCAGTTACAAAAGGCCACATACTGTATTATTCCATTTCTATCAAATGCTCAGAATAGGCAAATGCATAGAAACAAGTAGATTATTAGTTGCCAGGGGCTGGAGGGAGAAAGGGGTGTGGAGAGTGACTACTGATGGGTATGGGGTTTCTTTTTGGGTTGATGAAAATGTTCTGGAATTAGTTGTGGTGATGGTTGCACAGCTTTGTAAATATACACTGAATTATACACTTTTAAAGGGTGAATTTCATAGTGTGTGAATTATATGTCAATAAAACTGATATTTATTTGGAAAGTATATGTGGTATACAGTCAGTTTAGAAAAAGAGGGCTAGCAAATCATCATGGGGAGCCCTGGTGGCACAGTGCCTCAGGCAGGCATTTGACTGCTAACCAGAAGGCTAGAGGTTCAAATCCACCAGCCACTCCTCGGAAGGAAGGTTGGGCAATCTACTTCTGTAGTGATACTGCCATTGGCAACCCAAGGAGGGGTTGCTATGAGTCAGATCCAACTCTACAGCAGTGAGTTTAAATCGTCATGGTGGAGCACTATGAGTGTTGCTTAGGCATCACTGTGAGCAGTTTCTTCTAAGGGGCATAGCTCTCAGCCCCAAGCAGAAAATCTGATGAAGCAGAGGATTTGCTTCTCTTGTTGTTTTCTTCTCACAATCTTTTTTTTTTTTTTTAATCCTAAATCCAATTCCTTAATGGGAATGAAATCAGAGGCTGGTGTTTTCTTTATAAAGTGTTCTGATTTTTTTCAAAGTTCTCTGTCTCTTTCTCTCCCTATCATATTTATTATTTTATTTGTCCTCATCTATGGAGGAAAGATCTTAATATCTGCATTTTCATAGATGGGAAATTGGGACCATGCAAGTTAAGTGGTAATAGAAAGTTAATGACAGAGCTGGGACTAAAACTGAGACTTCTTTCTTCCTAGCTCGTTTTTCTTTCCCTCCAGCATGGGGCATGACCCTAAGGCTAAGATAGTTTGTTTCTATTCCTGGTAACAATTCCATGCCTAATTTAATCTAAGGACACTGTACTGTTTTTCCCCTGGAAGATTAGACAAATGAATGGATTCATTTACTTACTAATTTATTCAACAAATATTTATTGTGTGTTTATTAGGTGCCAAATATATTTGTGTGGAACACAAAAATATTTAATCAGTTTAGTTGCTAAATATCCAAATTGTCAGGTAAAAAACCTATTCTAGTGCTTTGAAGAGTTATACTGGGAAATACATCCTTCTTTTTTTGTTTTGTAAATAATAATTTGTTTTTGTTGTTGAAAATATACACGGCGGAATATATACCAGTTCAACAATATCTACGTGTACAATTCAGTGACCCTGATTACATTCTTCAAATTGTGCAGCTGTTCTCACCCTCTTTAGCCAACCTGTTCTTCCTCCTTTAGCATAAACTCATTGCCTCCTAAGTTTGTGTTGTTGTTGTTAGTTGCTCTCCAGTCGGCTCCAACTCATAGTGACCCTATGTAAAACAGAATGAAATATCACCCGGTCCTGTGCCAGCCTTATAATCCTTGCTATGCTGAACCCATCATTGCAGCCACTGTGTCAATCCATCTCGTTGAAGGCCTTCCTCTTTTTTACTGACCCTCCACTTTACCAAGCATGATATTCTTCTCCAGGGAGTGGTCTTCTGACAACATGACCAAAGTAGATGAGACGATGTCTGGCTGTTCTCGTTTTTAAGGAAAATTCATTCTGGCTGCACTTCTTCCAGGACAGATTTATTAGTTCTTCTGGCAGTCCATGGTACTTTTAATATTCTTCACCAACAACACAACTCAAAAGCATCAGCTCTTCTTCAGTCTTCCTTATTCATTGTCTAGCTTTCACGTGCATATGAGGTGATTGAAAATACAGTGGCTTGGGTTAGGTGCATCTTAGTCTTCAAGGAGACATCTTTGCTCTTCAGCACTTTAAAGACGTCTTTTGCAGCAGATTTGCCCAATGCAATACATTGTCTGATATCTTGACTGCTGCTTCCATTGGTATTGATTGTGGAACCAAGTAATATGAAATCTTTGCCAACTTCAGTCTTTTCTCTGTTTATTGTGATGCTGCTTATTGGTCCAGTTGTGAGGATTTTCATTTTCTTTATGTTGAGATGTAATCCATGCTGCAAACCATAGTCTTTAATCTTCATCAGTAAATGCTTCAAGTCATCTTCACTTTCAGCAAGCAAGGTTGTGTCCTTTGCATATCATGAGTTGTTAATGAGTCTGCCTCCAATCCTGATGCTATGTTCTTCTTCAGATAGTCCAGATTCTCAGATTATTTGCTCAGCATACAGATAGAATAATTATGGTGAAAGGATACAACCCTCACATACTCCCTTTCTGATTTTAAACCATGCAGTGTCCCCTTGTTCTGTTTGAAGTATAGCTTCCTGGTCTATGTACAGGTTCCTCATGAGCACAGTTAAATGTTCTGAAATTCCCATTCTTCTCAATGTTATCCATAATTTGTTATGATCCACATGATCAAATGCCTTTGCATAGTCAATAAAATACAAGTCAACATCTTTTTGGTATTCTTTGCTTTCACCAAGA